TTATTTCTTTGATTTGAGACATCCCCCTAATAAAACAAATTTTCTCCGTAAAGAATCCTGTAAAGTGGGGTGATACAGTATCAACAAATTCATGTGCTCCATTTTTAACCCACAAACTCCGGGTTACCAGCTGGACAGTCATAATCTGCTTTGAATAGGCTAAGGCAGCAACACCATTCAAAGTTGGTTAACGTATTTTAACGTGTTGTCTGTCAGTCACAGTATATGCCCCGCATCAGAACGTTCTCACGTTGTTCAGTGGAGTTTCTCATAATACCTGTCTAAAAGTTTTGAAAGTTCAATTCATTTGTCGAAATAGGTTGGATAACTCTTGTAGCTATAAGATTTGAATAGCAATTTTCATTTTCTCTTTTTGAGCAGCGTATATTATTTGCCTCTCCTGAATCATTAAAATAAACTTGACCGTAACTACTCGATCGGTGACAACATAAACACTAATTCCTTCATGTTTGGTCTAATATTGCCACTAAAACTTTCAATAGCAAATGAGTTTTTGAAACTTCTTATTTTTGACTTGAAATGTCTGGATTGTGTTGGTGAATTAAGTCAAAAAAGTTTGTCCGAGGAACTGGAAACATAACCGTAAACAATCCATTTGCGTTTTTCTCAATTGAAGTAGAGCGAGTAATACAAAGGTCAACAGTAAAAACATGAGATCCGCCAAGATTAGGTATGATATTACTACTTGAACTTATGATAGTCAAGGCATTATTATAGTTTCTAACAAATGTTTTGAAATATCTCGATCTCACCAAGTGAATGTGTATCTGGATGGGTATCTGTTAGACCAAAATTTTTTTACTCTCCTCATAAGCATAAGAAATCTTATTATTAATTGTCTCATCCTCCCGTTTACAATAAATTCTTCTTTGAACTTGAGGCATTTTCTGTTCTTCCAACAAAACTGATTAACTGTTTAACTTGGTCTTAACCTACTGAATATTACAAACGTTAATGTTTACTCCCAAAAAGCTAATGAGTTTCTTCTTATAACCAGCTGTTTTTTGTTTTTAAATTTGTTCTATGTATTTCTTATGGGGAAAACCCGACCTTTGAGAGGGTCTCACGCCCTTAAGAGTAGGAATTTTCAAAGTCTAAAACCTTATTGCAAAACTACATATTGAGACGAATCTTTTGACACGTTAAACGTTGAAATTTGTCCACAAATAAGGGAGGAGTTGCGTTAACAAAAAACGGCTTCACGTATTATATATATAGATAGATAGATAGATAGATAGATGCTTTAAGAGTAATACTAACATGTTATTATTTTTTGCCCGTGCGACTTTATTTGTAATGTATTTATAGCTCTAGTTAACAAAACTAAAATAACTGATGCTGAAACATTAATAAAAGTAAACAAGTAATTAATTAGCATCGCCAAAATCAATCTGTATCAACATTGTTTTGTTTCAGGTGATGGATTAATTGAAATGATTAAATAACCAACTCATCCCTTTATATATGATACATACAAGTAAAATCATGGATGGAGACCGCGTTTTCTGAATAGGGCACAGACAGAATGGTCAAATCACAATTGCAGAACTTTGGATTTACATAAAATGGCCCATTACATTGTTCCAGTCGCGTAAAGCCGGTTCCATCGGGCGTACATAAAATGGATAAACTTTATTTATTCAACTGCGTAAATAATTAAACGATATTTTAATGTTACAAGTGTGAACTACCATATAGAGTAAACTGGTGATGGAATTAACGGTTGAAACGCGTTGCTCACCAGAAAAATGTGATTAGAGATTTAATTTGAATACAATATTTTACTATTCAATCTTAGGTACAAATTTTATATCATCAATAATAGGTTTTTGTATCTATAAAAGTAGCCCATAACAGAGTGAATGTCATGAACAGGTCTTGTCTTGCTCAAAACTTCAAGTACTATGGTGCTCTCACAAGTCAAGTAGACTACACAGGTACATATTGTAAACTACCAATAGGTTCATTGTATCTCTTGAAGTACAAGTTGCTTACAACCAAGATGTATACAACATAGTGTATGTCACGTACAGGTCGTGCCTCGGTCACAACCCCAATTACACGGCTGTCTTCACAGGTCACGTGGTCTTACATATTGTAAACTACCAATAGGTTCCTTGTATCTCTAGAGGTAGAAGTTGCTTACAACATAGTGTATGTCACGTACATGTAGTGTCTCGGTCACAACCCCAATTACACGGTTGTCTTCACAGGTCACGTGGTCTTACATATTGTAAACTACCAATAGGTTCCTTGTATCTCTAGAGGTAGAAGTTGCTTACAACATAGTGTATGTCACGTACAGGTCGTGTCTCGGTCACAACCCCAATTACACGGTTGTCTTCACAGGTCACGTGGTCTTACATATTGTAAACTACCAATAGGTTCCTTGTATCTCTAGAGGTAGAAGTTGCTTACAACATAGTGTGTGTCACGTACAGGTCGTGTCTCGGTCACAACTCCAATTACACGGTTGTCTTCACAGGTCACGTGGTCTTAACTTCTTCACACTTACATTATTTTTACGAAACACTTTAATAGTACTCTCATACTAGATATATTTTGTCTAATAGTGAGACATGTTTTAACCACCCAAATTTAACTGTCCATCATATAAGAATACATAGGTTTTATATATATGTGTGTGTACGTAAACGCGATCCCATGAGTATTTTTTGTCTGATTTTGGTTGAATTTGGCTTGAGATGGAGAACAGGATAAACTTCAATGAGTTCTCGAACCAGCATGATAAGACCATGGGAGCGGGGTTTTATGTGATAAAGATTGGGGTTTCAAAGTTTTTACCATCAAAACATAAATTTCCTAATTTCTCTTTAAACGAAATCAAAAATCTTAAAATAGCAATTGTTTAGTATTTATTTAAATTCTTTTTACGATTATTGGTTATGAAGAAAATTGGAAAAAATTGAAATCTAAAATCCCTATAATATTATTCTTACGGAGAACAAGTAAAACTGTTGTAGTTTGCTTGTTTAAGGACATATTTTGATTAAACTTGGCAAATTCGGTTCTAAGTCGTACTATTAAATTTGCGCTAATGTCTACTTCCCTAATAATAAATTCACTCGAACGTCTTGCATCAGTAGACTCGTATAGAAATATATAAAACCAGCGCGAATCTAATACGTGACCATAATATCTCATGTTATGTCGGTCATCATACTTAGGGAAATCACTGATATCTTCCACTTTTATAAAGTATCTATATGCTCCACCACACATTTTATTTAGTTATGACTAAAACGGGAATAACAAACAGTTTATATAGGATTCTACACAATGTAAGTAAAAACTAATCACAAATAAAGTCCATTATTTGATTATCTAGTATATGAGAGGAACAAAATCGTGAAAGTCTGTATTTTGGTTTAGTTGAAAGTATTTGTTTTAGTAAAATACCTTTTGTTATCAACTATCGATTGTACTCAAGAATGGTTAGCTGGAATTAAACAGTGATTGTTCTTGTTTTACCCTCCATAGCATACATAGTCCCTATTAGGCAATGATACAATATAACAACATACTGTAGCATTATAGACCACTTGTATTATTCCTGTTTATTTTATTATTCGGAAGTAACAAGTTCACTATCCCGTTACTGTTTAAAATCAAATCATTTAATGCTACTTAACTCCACACCTGACTGTAAATCCACTTGTAGATCAATCACTTCTCAAACGAATAGTTAAGCGTTTGAAGCTGACTGTAATGGAGAAACTAAGCGAATCAGTAAGAATTATTAACAAAATTGTGTATGGTATCTATAATGATATTTTGGTAAATTGAAAGTTTGCTCCGCAGTTTCAATTAATAAAACAATTACCACCCTGTTATTAATTTGACCTTTGTTAACCATACAAACGACTGGGAAGTTGGAATTAACACGGAACAAACAATTATACTCTCTGACTCTTGGCTCCAATAAATGAGCTACTTCATTGTTGGTAAAACCAAACTGGTATCTCATTGTAGTGTGAAAGGTGTTGGTACAAAAGTAATTTGTAACAATAACTTACGTATTTTACCTAAAAAATAAATCTAGTTGTAGCAGTTTGCTATAAAATGTATCTCAAACGGATGAATCATCGTAGATTTTCTATATTCGTATTAAAGTGATTACTAGACTTGTAAAAAAAACTCACTAAGCGTACATTAGTTTGCCTGGTTAATAAAATATACGTTTAATTCTTTGTATTTGAATAAATGTCTGCTAACTAATGTCTAGTCTACTTATACCATATTTTTGAAACATTATTAAACGTTATAGCCAGTTTATAAGCTTTTAAAATTATTCAAAACATGCAAATATTATTTCCTTACCGCTTCCAAGGAGGTCAATCGCAACAACAATACACATTGAATATGTTGTGACACAAATGAATACAACAACTTCATAAATTTAACATGGTTTCTAGGCATGAGATAGACATAGACGAGTAATAATATCAACCTGTGTAACAATGTATATTTTGGTACAGAAACTCCCGCCCACATACTGCATGTGATATATAACAAACGAAGCTGACACACGGAGTAGGTAATAAGGTAATACTCATTACTTGCGAGAACGGAACCCACGACAAAACAATCGAGTGGTTTGTAATCCAATGCTTTAACTTACGTCATCCCGACTAGCTTTTCGTTCAGTGAACTGTTTAAGACATATTCTAACATATTTTAAGAACATTAACAGCCAAGAGAAATACGTTTTAACTATTGTATGAAGGCGGTATCTCATTTACATCATTACCTGTAATTCGGCCATTCTAAGGAGCGTAGCTAGCCTAATATTTCCACTAACAAATTTAGCTAACGTTTAGCTCTGAACTGTTAGGCCAAGTCATGTTTTTTAAAGGAGGTTTTAAGCTCGTGAAATCTTTTTGAGTTTTTTGGGGGGAAGGTTTCTTGGATGAGCAAAGCATTCCTATTATATTTCACAGCTTTTATTTTAAGCACTAAATTAATTACATAAATAAATAAATAAATAAATACAAAATTAACAAATTTGGATTCAAACTAAATAACAAATGACGAGTAGGTGCGTGGGGAGGATGGATTGAGGTAGGTATGTTACTGGCCTCGCCTGGACTGCATGGCCCTCTGCCCTCTGTATACTAGGTCCTGGCTGGCGGAGTCTGGTGCTATTGGACCACTCCTGGACCAATCACCGTGCACCTCGGGCTCTGCGTAGATCACCTGTAGCATCGACATCATAACCATCACTATCAATCTACAAATCTTAGCACGTGCATAGAGGGAAATATCTCCATAGGGTACGTCTGGTCGCGTCGGTGACACTGTTTTACGCATTCAGTCTTACTTAGTTTTGAAAGAAGATTTATCCATTTAAAGCCTTCAATTATAATTTTCTTCTAGGGGAAAAGAAACTTCTGTTTTTAAAACATTTTAGTTTATGGTAAATGCCCTATAATCATTCTTTGACGTCCTCTCATTATTCTAAAGGACAAAATAGAAGGATCTAGGGTTAATTTAAAACATTTCACAGTAAATTTATCACTATCATACCTTGGCAGCATGTTTCTCCTGCGGCTGATGTGCCAGCAAGTTCTTGAGGCCGAAGATGGCTGACAGCAGCAGCGCCACCTTGGCTATCAGCAGAGCCTTGCCAGACAGCAGCGCCAGAGTGGCCAAGGCCAGCTTCAGCAGCATCACTCCCATAGCACCGAACATGGCTAAGTAGATGCCACCGCCCTTCTTCTTGTATCCCTTCCTCCGGCCTACATACATACAATACGTTGCTATAGATTCGGAGAATGTATTGTCATTTTCATAAAAATGAAACCATGTATTTAATCTGTTTACATCAAATCCAGTTCAAACTGTTCTATATTCATATTATATATTGCTTTTATCTTAACACTGTTATTGCCTTTAGTTCAATAACCTTTTCAATAACAGGTTCGCATGTTCAACCGCATTCAGGCGAAAGTCAAATAATGGCTTAAGCCGGCGAAGCTAATCACAACGATGTATCCAGCGACTGTGACACGGTTCTCGTTAACGGACTTCTGTTTCATGGTCTGGCGCGTTCAATTACCATGATATGCAAGTGGGCTACCCCGCGCTCGGCTGCTCCCACACCCCACACGTCAACGCTCTCTCGATTAATACATCGACCGTAAAAATAATTACCGAAGTACCGTGTTTCTTCAACAAAATAAGTCTTGTCATATTTTCAAAATCCGACCAAAACCCCCTCATTGCTATCACCTTAAAAAAAATCAGAGTATTTCAGTTTCAACTCTTGTTTGTTTTGTATATTACTTTTTAACTGTTGTTTCGGTGTTTTGGAGTTTTCTATTTAATAAAAGATAGTAATTAAATCTTAACAAGTCCAAAGAGACCGTAACACCTCATTTAAAGGATCAAATTGGACACAGGTGCCACTAATCATCAGGCACGTAATTAATGATTCCAGCTACAGATGTTGGTATTGGTCAGTAATAAAGCCGTATCCCGTGTAATCAGACCATCATTATTTTTGCTCAACCTAACCCTTGAGTTTTGTTTCCTCCTCTACAGAGTAAAATTTAAATTAAACCCCGTTGTAAAAAGTAATATTGATATTTTTAGTAATAAAATGTCGAATGGCGTGGAAACCTCTAAATTTTTTTATTTTTTTTTTAAGTGAGTTAAAACTCCTACTTTGTAAGGAGAAAAGCGAGGTAATAATAATAACCAACTTGTCAAAAACGTATTTATAAGAAAGATGGAAATGTATGATTGACTATTTAATAACGAATTTCAATCGATTCATTCAGGGAGCTAAATGTACACCATACAGAGTGACAAAAAAAGAACTGACACATTTGAACACACATTTTTATTAAATACAATTTTAACTATATGGTAACATTTACTTATGAACAGATAAAACACTCAAGATTTAGGTAATATTCAATAAAACTCATTATGGCTATTATTTAAGGCTCTGCCAGCGTTTAAATCAAAATTTAGCACATCGCACACCTTTACTTAATGTTAATGTTTGGAAGGAGGTTAAATTTCAATTTGACACCATCATATTCTTAAACGGTGGCCATATTGAGAATTACTGATTATCACCAAAGGCGTTTAGAGTTTTTCTATCTATACATATGTAATTGTTACCATGTAGTCCTGCCAAAAATTAACATTAAGTAAAGGTGTGCGATGTGCTAAATTTTGATTTAACGCTGGCAGAGCCTTAAACGATGGTCATATTGAGTTTTATTGAATATTACCAAATACTTTTGATTTTTCTTGCTGTAAATTGTATGTTAAACATTTGTCTATGGTTAAAATGTGTCAGTTCTTGTTAGACCATCCTGTATATGATAATAATAGTTTACTTGCGATGATCAAGCGCGTAGGAAGAGTTATGTTGCTCATTCACTTTGAGAAGTGTAGCATATTGCTCGAGTGACGCCGAGCCCTGTGGTTCATCTGGGAATGCAATAACCACACAAACATCTTGACGTGTGACTCTACTTGCAACAGCAATAACTATGTGATTTATTGCCTTTAAATAGTAATAACAGTTGTAAAATGTAATTTCTTTAATATTTGGTATGTAATTGGGTAAATATTGTCAATATATTGCCCTGTGACATTAACATCCATTTCATTGTATACATTTTGATTCATTAACACATACACGTAGTTTTTGGTAAAGCTAATGGTGATTACGTAATGAACCAGTATATGAATTGTTTTGATGGCGCTAGTTCTCAAGTTTCTTACAAAGCATTTTAAAATGAAACCCCCGAAATAAATTACTTTAAGCAGCATTCTGTTATTTTTCATGTAAACTACCAACGAGCTTTCATAAAGAGATCGCACAGTTGGCACGGGTCTCAGCAGAGCAGTGAAACAAGGTTCTTTCGATTCTCCCAGTTAATTGTTGAAAATAAAGATATACTTGGATAAACTGCAACAATCTTGATTTGCAAAGCAGATCTTGTGATCAGAATAATAATTACTTGAATCAGTCGAGCGTACTAGAGGTTCACTATAAAAGTTAACCGATTCTCACAGGTCTTATATCCTTCTAAAATTAGTCTTATCCGTTTTTATACTTTTGTTTTTATTTAATTCTTCAACACAAACAACCAAATCCGATGTGTCTCATTCAAGCTAATATTAATATTACTGTGATGAAAAGAGCCTATTTGTTTTAAAATAGTTATACTTGTCATATGCTAACCAACCTTCGGCCTCCTCGGGCTGGTCGTGTACGTGGACAGTCCTGGTAGTGATGAGCTCGTACACTCTGTCCAGGAGCACGCCGTCCAGAGAGGTGACGTTCTGAGGACCAAAGTGACGAGGTACAGTGACGTCAGGTCGACGGTCCACAGTGACGTCATCAGTGAGTCTCAGAGAGTCCGCGGCCAATGCCGTGTCCAGCAGTCTGAGAGCCGTCTTCTTGAGACACGAGGACGGGTCCTGGTCACCACCACACTTGATGACGTCACTCATTACGTCACTGGCAGCCACTGTGGTCACCAACATCACCACCACCACCACAGAACACAATGCTGCTGATGCTGCTGCCATCTCTGCTACCACTGACCACTGACTACTGACTGCTAACACACACTGTGGAAGGTATATATACTGGCCGCCGTGATACGGGGCATATCCAATCAACACACGTATAATTAACACATACAGATTAATTGGTCCATGATTCATATGACCATTAACATGCAGATCTGAGGAGAAATCTGAAATAAACCAGAAAGTGTTAAATTAGTTTGTATGAATGTTGATTTCAATAACTATATAATTATTGTTCCTCCAAAATTTTTATGGTTAAAAAAAACTTGTTTCTCTACTCTTAAACTTAGTCACAACATGTCTACCATTGTCAGGAAGGAAATAGAAAATTGTATTTTAGTGAAACCATTACTAAACAAAAACATTTACAACCACGAACGATTATTTTTTTTATTATTATTCTTGACTTTGTTTTCTGCGTTAAAACGATAAACAATATCACAGTATGGGCAGGTTTAGAACCAACAAACGGCCATTTCATCTGTTTGTGCATACCAATTTGACGTCCACTTCCATTTAAAACTAAAATACTCTCTTATTAGTTTGTTTAATCTTACTATATCATTTGTATAGCGATGGTAAATTTACGAATGTAAATAGCTTGCTAATGGCAATGAAACTTAATTTAAAGAATTAAACATTCTCACTTGTGCAGCCAACACTTTGAGGAGGCTCTTCATGCATGTTCACATTCAAATGATGGCTAATGATAACATTACAAGGAGGGTTAACATCATCATTACATATAATTACAGCAAGAACTGAGTAGAGTCGGCTATCAGCTACAAAATGACCTTCGCTGATTTACATAACGGCGTCTGTGGCTAGAATAACTAGATTATTCTGGGACGAAGAACTTTGATTTAAATACGAATGTTTGCTTTTAAGCATTGAATGCGAGCTTTACCGCATCATTAGCTTGTAGATATGTATTACTACAATATCTATTGTCCAATAGATTACATTACCTATATATGATTACAGCCTACTATAGTATGTATTAATGTGTAACATCGAAGGAGGCTGTGCTATTATACTAACTCTATTTAACTAGAGATAAACATAATTTGATCAGTGACCAATGCCGATAAGATTTAATGAATACGTGGAAGATACTATAAACAAGCAATATTTTATATGTGTATTATTTATGTATTACTTCTGGGTATGATAAACGTAATAGCAGGGTACTTACGGATGGACAGAAGAACTAACGCTGTTTTGAGAGGCAATGGTACTAAGTTGAAATAAAATAATATAACACTTCTTTATATGACCCCTTGTAAGTTTCAATATTAGGTCAACCATAAATAAACCCAAAGATATACAGGGTGTCCCGGAACTCTCTACCAATATTTTAGGGCATTGATCCTGGGTAAGAAACGTACCTAGATATCATATTTAAATTGTCCGGAAGTCCTTAGTTACTCACACAGCCACCATTTTGTTTTTTTCAGTTATTAATTTTTTTCTAAAGAATGGTTAAACATACGAAATGGAAACTTTGCACAAACATTTATGACAACTAGACAAAGCTACAAAAAATATTATTCAAATTCATAAAACAAAATGGTGGCCATTTAAAATTTTTGTAAAATCAATGGGTTTTGAGTTATTTAAGAAAGAAAATTTTAAATGGCCGCCATTTTGTTTTATGCATTTGAAAAATCGTCATAATTTTTTGTAGCTTTGTCTAGTTGTCATAAATGTTTGTGCAAAGTTTCCATTTCGTATGTTTACTCCCCAGAGGGGAGGTAATTGCCCGGTGTTGGAACCGGCACTTCAGGTAGACCACAAGCTATGGACGACTGGACAAGCCAGCCTCTTTGGGTTTACCCAAAGTGAGAGTACCCAGTGACATTCCCTCCATTCAGGGTGGTGGGGTGTTCAGCTCTGCTAGTGTTGATTAAGTTCATAGATCTTTCACCTGCCTGTAGCTTGTGGTTGTGACTGAGTCCTACCTGTCGTGTACGACTGACATTTTGTGAGGCATATCCTCGACTTTGGAAGTAGCCTCGTCCTGGGAGGTGAAATACTTAGCCCCCAGAGGGGAGGTATATGCTCCGTGTTGGCATCGGCATTTTCAAGTTGGCCACAGACATGGACGACTGGGCATTGGGTCCCAGTGACATTCCTTTATCCAGGATGGAGGGGTGTTTAGCTCTAGGAGAGATGGAAGTACATCATAATCTCTAACCTACCTGTGTCTGTGGTTCTTTGGGGGACGATGTCGAAGTTGGACTACGTTAAACGTGGACTACGTTAAAAGCAGACACCACCTCCATCAGACAACGATAAAAGCAGACAACGACGAACATGGACACATTCAAATGTGTCCAAGCTTAACGTTGCACGCAAACGACGAACCTGGACACATTTATAAGTTGTCCAGGGGTGGCGTTGCACGACACGACGAATATGGACACATTCAAATGTGTCCAAGTTTAACGTTGCATGCAAACGACGAACCTGGACAAGTTTTCAAGTTGTCCAGGGTTGTCGTTTGCGTGCAACGTTACCCTTGGACACATTCAAATTTGTCCAAGTTTAACGTTGCATGAAAACGACGAACCTGGACAAGTTTTTAAGTTGTCCAGGGGTGGCGTTGCACGACACGACGAAACTGGACACATTCAAAAGTGTCCAAGGGTAACGTTGCACGCAAACGACGAACCTGGACACTTTTAGTTTTTGAATAGACTGTACACCAGGCTCATCAAATTCTCAGTCTCGCCTCGCTCGGTGGGTAAACTCTGAATGAGCTTCCTAAAACAGAAATGCCGTGAATACGCCTTATTGTTACAAGGCTTCTTTCTAACACACTGTTACTAATACACTGTGTTGTAGTGACTCATAGTCCGCGAAACACATTGTACATTATAAATTCGGAAATTTAATTGCATGTTTATTTGGTCGTTGTAAATGTTTGCTGGATATTAATAAAAAATTAAAACCTATGGGACCTGGATACACCGTGTCCCAAACGGACGGTTCAAATCTACAGCTTTTGTTCAATATACGTGTTGCTAAGTGTCGTAGAAGTGGTACATATCTAACTCATGTCATAGACTCGCGGGTATAACTCCACAACAACCAGGTCAGGAACCGGAGATTCTTTGTGTATCAAATTGTTCCTGATTTTTGATAACCGGGAAAAACCTTGAATCAGTGCTGTTTAGGGCTGGGAAACTTACATTTTTTTTAAATCATCGTCGTCACTAGCTTACACAAATTAGGTTTCCACTCATTGACGGCGCTTACTGATTTTATATGTACTTTGCTATGGTTAAATTGTAGCAAATTCCTTAACTAATTAAATTCTGAATTTTCGTGTGTATGTCTGTTTGTGACGCATTAATGTCTTTATTACTCAGTGTTTCACGAAAAAGTCAAGAGCACTTTTGTTAATGGAAATGTCAAATTGGATAAAGTGTTCAATGGTGAGGACTACACTATCGCCATGCGTAGAACGGGTACTTAGCTAGTTTTAAATAAATATGATTTACACGTAAAGCAAGGTATATGTTTTATAAGTTAACTAGAGTTCCAGATTAATAGTTTAGTTTACCTTAAACATGATTGATTTATTTTCGTTAGACATATTTTTAATGAGATTCAGTAAGAAAACTAACCTCTTAACACTTGTATAAATATGCTCCAGACTCAAGAGCATAAAGTAAAGACCATGACTTTTTTTTGCAAGTCCTTAAAATCAGCATTAGAAAATACATTATACAGCTGAAAATCACATCTTAGAGTCTTCGGAGTGTTTATTTGCAGTTTTATGTATACAAAAATACTTATTTCTGACAGTAGATTTATTATCAGTGGAATTCATTAGTTTTGAATGAACGTAACCTTTTTTGGCCTAACACAAAACTGTATGATGCGTCTAATTTGTAGAGGAAATCCGATGTTAAATATAGGCCAATAAACTAAAAAATATGTGATTAACCGTTACAACATCAACTCTTAGGCCTATAATATGGTGCAGCTTTAAAAATGATAATACTGTAATGATACAATTTTTAAATGCAGAATTTTTATGTTGGTAATTTTTACTGTGTCAATAATGCGAGTTTATTTAGGCCTACAATGGTTTTCAATTACTTGAGATGAACGAAATACGAATGACTTGTTTTTGTGCAGTCACACAAAATGTGTGAAAATGTGCAAATAGCACCGATACTTTTTAAATAAACCTGAACTACTATTTATTTTTTATTAAGTCGCGTTTGAAGACAGAAATCTACGTTTCATATTAGTTATGTATGGACAACATATACAATATTTACATGCTAATAATAAGAAAGTCTGGTCTTTATACACACATTCCAATCAAAAATAATTTTATGTGAAATGAAGAGGCTTGAAAACCAAACAGATATTTTTTAATTGTCGCCCGAAACTATATTACGATTGGCAACGTTAGACGTATATGTAATCTTACTAATACTGTCATGATTATTTCATTCATTTAATCCATAATTTCCGGAAAACTAAAAATAATACTAAGCTATGAAAACAGAAAAAGTATAGTTCAACTGATCTGAAAGATTGGCGACGAACATGGACAACGCAAAACAAAAGCCTGAGGGATGCATTTTCTTTATCCTAAAGGCGGTTCCATATACCAGACATGCGCCAGTCACCAAGCACGAAATATTAACGTTCAGTGATTTAGTTGTCTTGCTATTCACCGATTAAAAAGTAGACTTATACTACACACATGTGTTGTTTTCCGAGCAAGTGTTAGTTTTTCCGTCCGTAGGGAACAGAAAATATTCGTTTACTTTTATGTATGCAAAAATACCGATTATGTGCAACACTACGTCACAGTGGTGGATAGTTGTACGAAAATGTAACCGTAAAATCTGAAAACAGCCAGCTTTATTACCTAAAACATATGGGATATTGCAGTGAATCTATCCACTAGTGTGACGTCATGAACCTTCAGCATGGCGTGTTTTTCTAGTGGGGCCTTGGTCGAAATCCCAAACAATGGAC